GAGGGAAACGGACTGGTATGGATTGAAAATTAGTTAAGAGACAAAAAAAAAGAGTAGGAATAGATGGATTAGTGTTGAAGACAAAGTTGTTTATAATCTATAAGGACTAAAAAGTAATATTTCCAAATTTGCTGATGGCATAGATAGGTGGGAATGCAAGTTGTGAGGAGAATACAAGGAGATTTGGATAGGCTAAGTTAATAGACAAGAATATGGCACTTTGAATAGAACATGAACAAGTGCAAAATTATCCACTTTGGTTGAGCATCAGACACACAAAATGTTTCTTAAATTGTGAGAAGTTGTGAAACATTGATGTCCAAAAGGAACCTAGCTTCATTGTTCATGACTCACGAAAAGCTAATAATCGTTTGCAGCATCTGTAAAAGACAGTGAAACAGTATGTTGGTCTTCAGTGTAAGGGGATATGACCACAGGAGTCTTGCTGCAATTGTATACAAGCCTTAGTGAGATTGCACCTGGAATACTGTGTACAGTTTTGACATGCCATACTGTGTCTGTATTCTCTAACATTTGAAAGACCAGTAGTGATCTCGTTGAAATTTACAAAAATTCTTACAGGGTGTGACAGGGTGGCTATAGACATGATGTCTGCCCTAGGTGATGAGACTAGAACCAGGAGAAACAGTTTCAGAAGACTGGGTAAGCTGTTTAAAGGGAGGAAGAATTTCTTCACCCAGAGGTTTGTGGAAGCGCAATCACTGAGCACATACAAGAAATGGACAAATTTCTGAATACAGGTCAAGTATCCTTTATCCATATGTCTGAAAACCAAAAAGACTTAAAAACTCCAGGTCTTTTTGAAAGCAGACCCAAACAGACCTGTAGGCACACCAAGTTCAGGCCCTTCCAAAAAAAGAGCCTTTGCTTGGCCTGAGTGCACCTAAAAGTGATGTTTTGTCCCAAAGGCCCAAAATCAGGGTGGCCACAGGTCTGTTCAAGCTCTTTGGGAAAAATAAACTTTACTTTTAGGTCTGTTTGAGTCCATTCAGGCCAAGCAGAGATTTTTTTCTTGCCCCTCAAAGGGCCCGAACGGACTTGAACAGAGCCAAATAGACCTAAGTGGTAACTGTAGCGAAAAATGGATGCAAAGGACTAATAAATGCAGAGATGATGGGGGAAAAAAAAGTTTATAGATACCATCAAGTTTTTGACAAAACTAATATGAACCCATTCCCCTAACATACTGGGGTACAGCGAGTTCAAGAGTTAAAGAAATACTTTGCTTTTGATTGTGAGACGATTAGTAAGAGGTCTTAGAGGGCAAGGTAAGTTTATTTGAAAATGAAAGAAAAATCCTTCATCCGAAAAACACTTGGTCCTGTGGTTTTCGGATAAAGGATTCCTGATCTATACCAATAATATCAAAGGATGTGGGATATGCACCAGAAAGTGGGATGAAGTAGATGATCAGTCAAAATCTAAAATAAATGACTGAGCTGTCTTAATAGGCTTGATACTACACTCCAGATCTCATGTTCCTAAGGCAAAGCCAGGTGTGTGAGGTGGGAGGGTGGTTGGATGACAGCAGTGGTTTTAATGAGGGAAAGGGAGACGGGGGAAAGAGACAGACAGAGATGGAGAGAGCACACACGTGACAGCACCATGTTCAGGACCTGTGTAATCTTAATTTCATAAATACTATTTAGCTGAGATTACAAAGCAGGCCATTCATTCACTCCCACAAAAGAACTACACAATTAGTGATCGTAATTATCAGCACTCCTTTGCATTTCCTCCTCTATTTATCCTCTATTTTATAGTTTGTTGATAATTAGCCCCTATTCAATTGCAATAATTCACACTAAAAGTAACATTAAACACATATACGACTGAACTAATCACTTGGAACAATATAAAGTTCAAAGATATATGTAAGAGAGACAAACATTACACCATCGTTTCTTCAACTCCGAGAAACACCTTCATGAACTCATCACTCGTGCAATATGTATTAAGGAGATGATGAGGTGGTCGTGATGTCACTGGACAAGTAATCCAGGGGACCAATCCAAAACTCTGGTACATCAGCTCAAATCTCACCCTGGTAACTGGTGGAAACTGAATTCATTCAATAAATCTGACATATAAAGCTAGCCTCAGTTATGGTGACTAACCATCATCAATTGTCGTAAAAACTCATTTGGTTCACTTTAGGGAAGAAAAGCTGCCTGATCTGACCTGCATGGGGCACCAGACTCTCAGTGGCCAGCTCTTAATTGCCCTCAGCTCAAGAGCAATTAGGGTTGGGTAACAAATGCAGCAATGCTCAAATTCCAGGAAGGAAGGAAGGAAGGAAGGAAGGAAGGAAGGAAGGAAGGAAGAAATTGATACATCCTTCATAAAAATATAGAACTCTGCACATATGAAATTAATTATCCTATTCAAATAAATCCTAACCTTCTGTCGCAAGTTTAATGAGCAGTTAGTGTGAAATGTGTAACCTCAAATGTTTATTGATGGAGAACTGCCATTTTTGTAAAGCTAATGGCAAAGCAGTGCAAGTCATTCAGAAACTTGTAGCAAGTCAAGTATATTCTGGGCACTGTGAACTGCCACTTCACAGGATATACTTTCCTTGTCACAAGTTCCTGTGCAATGTCATTAGACCGCTCATATTTTGGCAGGAGATTCTGGAACAGTAACTTTGAATGTGGTATATAAAACAAAAGGATTAACTACAAAGAACCTACTGTACAGAAAAAGAGTCCATTCAACCCAATTAGCTATGCGTATGTTTATACCCCACACAAGTATAAATATGTTATTCACACCTTGCAGTCAATATTCCAATTTTCGCATCTCACATATACGCATCAAGCCTCCCCTTAAATGAATCAAATCTATCTGCTTCAACCATTTCATTTGACAGCATGTTCCACGTAATCACCCCTTTCTGTTAGTAGCAATCCTTTCTGTATACTCCTTGTTTTAAACTCGCCCACTAATGGTAACAGTTTTTCAACATCCACTATTTCAAATCTTTCATAATTTGAAAGGCCTTCAGATTTCTCCCTTCCAGAGGGGAAAAAAAAAAAAAAAAAAAAAAAGAGTTCCAGCCATTTAATCTTTTCCAATAGCTGCATCCTCTTAAATTCTGATAGTAGTTTTATCAGCATTTTCTGCATTTTTGCAGTGCATCAATATACCTTTTGCGTTATGGACATTCAAAACAAAATCACTTCTCTAAGGTTGATCTAATCGAAGTTGCACATAAATCCAACATCACCTCCCTAATTTTATATTCTATTTCTCTACAAAAGGAACTCCAGTATTTTGCCTACACTCTTTATGCTGTTATCAACTTGTGTTGCCATCTTTAGTGTTTGTATTTCTAGATCTTCCTGCTCCTGTACCGAAGCTAATTTCTCATCCAAGTAACATGTGATTTCCTCACTCTGCTACCAAAATAAGCCAGTTCACTATATTGAATTTCATTTTCATATCTGTCCAATCTACAAATCTGTTATGTCATCTATGTTGGTGCAAATGCATTATTAGCTAAAACCCAGTATGGTATCAGATATAACCTATACATGCTGCAGGGCTGGATGAACACAGCAGGTCAAGCAGCATCATAGGAGCAGAGAGGCTGACGTTTCAGGCCTTGACCCTTCATCAGAAAAGGGGAGGGGAAGGGGGTTCTGAAATAAATAGGGAGAGAGTGGGAGGCGGATAGAAGATGGATAGAGGAGAGGATAGGTGGAGAGGAAACAAACAGGTCGAAGAGGCAGGGATGGGGCCAGTAAAGGTGAGTGTAGGTGGGGAGTTAGGGAAGGGATAGGTCAGTCCAGGGAGGACGGACAGGTCAAGGGGGTGGGATGAGGTTAGTCGGTAGGAGATGGAGGTGCGGCTTGAGGTGGGAGGAGGGGATAGGTGGGAGGAAGAACAGGTTAGGGAGGCAGGGACGAGCTGGACTGGTTTTGGGATGCGGTAGGGGGAGGGGAGATTTTGAAACTTGTGTGGTATACTGCATCCGCTGTACCCAGTGTGGCCTCCTCTACATCGGGGAAACCAAGCGGAGGCTCGGGGACCGCTTTGTAGAACACCTACACTCGGTTTGCAATAAACAACTGCACCTCCCAGTCGCGAACCATTTCAACTCCCCCTCCCATTCCTCAGATGACATGTCCATCCTGGGCCTCCTGCAGTGCCACAATGATGCCACCCGAAGGTTACAGGAACAGCAACTCATATTCCGCTTGGGAACCCTGCAGCCCAATGGTATCAATGTGGATTTCACAAGTTTCAAAATCTCCCCTCCCCCTACTGCATCCCAAAACCAGTCCAGCTCAACCCTGCCTCCCTAACCTGTTCTTCCTCCCACCTATCCCCTCCTCCCACCTCAAGCCGCACCTCCATCTCCTACTGACTAACCTCATCCCACCCCCTTGACCTGTCCGTCCTCCCTGGACTGACCTATCCCTTCCCTAACTCCCCACCTACACTCACCTTTACTGGCCCCATCCCTGTTTCCTGAGCTTCGGATTTGATAAATCTTAGAGACATATACAGGTTGGCCACTATTAAAAACGTTGGTATGACAAAATTGCTGTTTATATAACTTGTTTGATCACGATGTCACATAGATGTGAAAAATCTCAAATTAAATGCCTGGTCTGTGCTAAGTTCACTAATGCCAACAGGGCTCCAACACTGCTAATAACAGAGTTCAATAATCTTGAACAAGTGACTTTTCACGTGACCATCATTTTGCTGGAAATATGATCATGTGATCATGCGATTTAGGCTCAAATTCAATGCTCTGTAGACTCTTGGTGATTTTACGCAGAGACAGTTGCTCGGAGGGCATTTGTGGATATAGGAGATAATGGTGGTGGGGAATCAAAATTTAGAGATAGTAAAAAACAGTTCAACTTATTGTTGCTAATTACAAAATTGTGTAGAAATCAAAAATGTGAACATCTAGTAATTTAAATTTTATTTTGTGGTGAACAATAATGTTTCTATTTGTTTACCTTATCATGACCACTGCTTCCTCCTTGAATAATCTCTGGTGCCATATATTCAATGGTACCACAAAATGAATATGTTCTTTCATCCTAAAACAAAAGCAGATGTTTAAAATGAGTGTGCAAACCAATTAAAAATTAACATAAATGTAGTAAGGTTTTGAAGCCTACAATCTCCTCTGCCTAACAGTCAGAAAATGCAAAACAATCAATATCATATCAATACAAAGTAACTCAATTTTTAAAAAACAAGAATTACCTCAAAAGTGACAAATTCCTTGCTAAGTCCAAAGTCTGTCAAAACGATATGACCATCACCGTCCAATAAAATATTTTCAAGCTTGATATCTCGATATATGATGCCAAGCTACAATTAAAGGCATCAAATAGTTTAATTTCCTTGAAAAAATTTGTCCTAGAAACTAATGAATTAGTTAATGATGAGCAACATAGATTCCTATAATCATGGCACAATAATTACAATAATTAAACTGGCAATTCTGTTTCTCTCTGTATCGCATTTACCTGATGAAGGTGTTCTAGTGCTAACACAATCTCTCCTGCATAGATTCGAACATCTTCTTCTGTGAAGTGTTCCCTTTGGTATAGATGTGTAAACAACTCACCACCATTCACATAATCTACAGAAATAATTTGGACAATAAAGTTTCAAGACTTTTAATTTATAATTAAATTGTTATGTAATACAACTTGATCAATATATCAGGCAATTGAACATATTGTGAAATGAACAACCTTGCCATAAATCTTCTTGACATAGACGGATTTTCATGCCTGACCTCAATTGTTGAGCACATAAAATATTAGACACTATACTTCATAACAGGCTGTAATTTTGATGAAAAAGCAGAGAAACTAAAAGGAATTCTAGATACCACATATACACAATCATTCAACAATTACCACTGCATGCAAAGAGAAACAGAAAAGTCAATATTCCAGCAGAAGGATTCAGATTATAGGTTAAAATCATGATTTATTGCAAACATCTATATGAATCAGTTTCTCTTTAATGGAACCTATATCATTTGGAGTTTGTATGTTACTTTTTAACTGTCGACACAATAACATGCACATTTAAACATTAAACTATAATTGGAAGGATTTTGTCACCAACAGGCCCTTCTGACATTATTACTAGAAGTGTGCACAACTTCTGACTTCTCTCCTTTCTTCCCCCGTGTGATTATTGTTAAAATTCTATGTGCCAACAGCATGCCTGTTAAACACAAAGATTTAGTGACTGGGCAAGCTTTTCATTGGTGAAATCCAGCTGTAGCTGAAAATGCTGGATCTAAGAAGCCTATTAAAAAGAGTCATCTAGTCAAACAGAGAGGCTCTGGATCAAGCCACAATTTTTCTGCTCAACTCCATTGCCACTAACTGAAAAACCCAACAGCACAAAAGGTGGCTCAGGTGTTTGTCAAAACTAAATTTCACTTGCAAATATTTTGTATATTATTGGTTTCACTTTATTCATGTATGCATCATTGCTATTTGTGGAGGCTAGCTTAGACAGAGATTCAATGGACTTGCACACCTCATAGTTTGGCATGTGTCAATATTTACTGAGGAGTTAAGGACATTTCCTTTAATGTGGTAGAAACAATGCTGTGCTTCAATGTTCATTTGGTATTGTACTCTCTGAGGCATGCTGAAATTGCAGGCCGAGCTGGCTCTTCTTTCTGTGCCTTGTAAAAGGACATTCTCAGAACCATCTCAACCGGAGCAACTGAAATGTTCTAAGTGTATTCAAAGAGCCGTAACAATAATTGTCAGACAACATCCCTAGATAGATCCCCATTTGGACAACAACAACATTGCTCATTTCCATAACTTGACTGACTGCCCATATAACCACTTCTTCTACCACACCCTAAACACCAGACCTTTTTCACTTCACTCCTCCATGCTCCTAATCCCACCTTCTTTCCTCTGCTGGATCTCTCTTCTACTCCAATGTCCCTAACCTCACACCAAACACCCCTCACCACTGATTCACACTTGCTTGCCCTAGGACTTCAAGAAAGAGTCAATTTTCTTACTTCCCTCCCTTTTGTTGTATAGCTAAACAAGGAAAACTGCTGACATTACACACACCTGATCAAAGCCAACAGGTGCACACCACCTTTAAAATGATCACAAATGGAATGCTACAAGTTTCCTGGGTGATCTACAAAAACATAATACAAGGAAACGAGAGCGAGCTCCTGGCAAATTCAGCTTGCCGCTCACTCCGAACTATTTCCATGTTGGAAGTCGGGTACTAACATTTCAGAGCACACTCGATAGGCACTGGCACAAGCATTCACATCCATGGACGTTGGCATCCATCAAGTATCAGCTTCTAAGAACCCTCATGGCACATCTCTGATGCACTTACAGGTTGCTTTTGCACTTCAATACTGTATTGTGGGTTGCACAGCAATTATCATTGTAATGCTGCAGCAATCATACTGTGTGCTAAGGGACATGCATCCAGCTAATGGATTGGACCAGGCTGCAGCTCTAGGCTTTCTCCTCATCATCATAGCACTCACTACTTTTAACCTTACCTCAATGCTCACAGCATTCCGGTCTTGCATTGTCTTGTCTTTTTGCACTTTGTCCCCTCAGCCAGAGATAACATGCTCAAAATGCTTCTGTCTTGCCTTGCTGTTTAGTGCAGACACAAAGCTAGGAAGCCAGTCATTGTTTACAAAAGCCTTTACTCACCAATTCCTAGCACAGTAAGTCACATCAGGGACAGTTCACATCAGTCTAAGGCCTGCTCAGGACAGTCAAAGTTAGGATAAAGAGCAAGGAACCGAAATGACAGGCATCACACTGTTAGTTGCAAGTCTTTCTGCCCTATTGTTGCCTATTACTTTCATGGAATGAGACACTGACAGGTATTACAGAAGGCAAAAGTGGGTGGCATAGCTACAACTGTTGGTCCATGTGGGAAGGTATCCTACTTTAATGCAGAAGACAGGCAGGAATAGAGGTGTCAAGGTTGTAATGGGTGAAAGCAAGTGAGAGATGTTGCAGGTAATAGTGAGAACGGTAGAGCTTGAGCTTTTGCTGGAAGGGGATACAGCAGCAGAGATAAACTGAATACAAGGTATCAGAAGGAAGATGGCAGGCAGAGTGGAGAAGGACATTGACTTGCTTCCTACATTGCTGGGCATTTCTCCAAAAGGCTGAGAGCACCTTAAAGTGGGCAGCAACCTTAGACCAGGCTTGGTGTCATGGTCTCCACTTGATGACCTTTTTTGGGTGGGTCGGGGGGGGGGAAGAAGAGGGAAAAAAAAGTGTCTCACATCAGCTCCACACTCCTAACAGGAGCTTCAGGATCCAGGAAAGCTGGAAGTGAATGCCCCCATCTTGCCATGATAGGACAAATGTCAACCACAGTGCAGGGACTGATGTTGTCTGTCCAAGTGCACTGCGGGCTTTTGAAGTTGACACAAGCGCAAAAGATGCTGGTGAGTTCCAGGATATTGGAATGTTGTTTGGCAAGGTGTTGGCTAGGTGTGTAGCAATATGGAGGAGAAATCAGATGTGAGAGAAGCGTCTTAGGAGAATTGCAGGCAGGTAATGAGGTAGGTTTGGTGAAAAACCCTCCATAAAATCTCACGCAATTTGGACTGAATCACAAAAATGCGTATTTCAGCTCTTGGTTTTGAATCACTTTGTACAATGCCATCAGAGATTAGTACATGAAAACTGAACTGCTTTTCGTTACCTCTACAGCACTTCAAATTACGTAATACTCTGATAGACTGCTACTATGAATGTTATTTCCGGAATGACATTACCTGTTTCAGTGCTTGTGCAAAAAAGTCTTCTTCATTGTTGCTCTCTTATTCCCAAACTTTTGCTCGTTGGTACACAGATTATCCTAACATGTCAACTTTCATTCTTCTGTTTTTCAGAGAAGACAGTCCCAACCTGTTTAGCCTTTCCTGATAATATTACTTCTTATTTCTGATTTCAACTTTGAAAATCTTTTTTTCATTTCCTATAATTCTTCTATATCCTTTCATAAGACAAGATTGAGGAGCAGGCTTAGTTAGAGTTCCTGGGGTTTGCTCTGCCATTTAATAAGGTTATGACTGACCCAATTATTGCTTTAACCTCCACTTTTTTGTTTTAGCTCCATGACCTAGACTCACTTCTTGATCAAAAATCTTATTCTGCCTTGAATATATGCAATGAGTAATCCCCCAGGAACAGAATTGTACAAATTAATGACAACGAGAGAAAATATTTTTCATCTTTAGCTTACAATGGAGACACAGATTCTTTTTTTAAAACTATTCTAATAGTTCTAGACTCCTCCAGAAGGAGAAAGATCCTTTCAGTATACGCCTTATGTATGTTAATAAGCCCCTTCAGGATTTTTTTAATGTTCCAACAAAATCACCTCTCATTCTTCTAAAGACAGTGAGTATTTTCCCAAACTGCGCAATCTTTCTTCATAAGAGAAAGAAAGGGAACGTTATGGCAACCAGAACAGTGCACAACACTTTTAAGTGTGATCTAGTGGATATTCTATACAAGTTTAATTTAACTTTTTTGATTTTGAATTCTGATCCTCTGGGAATGAACACAACATTATGGCTTTGTTAACTACTTTACTTTTAATAATTTGTAAATCTGTACCCCTAGATTTCCTTCCATTATTATCCCGTTGAACCACTTGGTGCTGAATTTTTGCTCCTGGGTCAGGAGAGTAGAGGAGAAATATTTCCAGTTCTACCAACTTGGCCCAAGACTGTGCACTCCAGAAGCTGGAAATTGTGTTTCGGGTTAGTGGGACTCCCTAGTCATTGTGTAGTACTCCCCAGAACAAGTGAGGAGGTTGATACATCTGGAAATGAATGGGTAGAAAGCTGCCTTGGGCCTTTGGCACTGTGCCCATAAATAAAAAAAAAACAAAAATATCCTTCCCGCTCACCCCACACACCCTGCCAAATCTATTCATGCTAAACTATGCTACCTGTACATGAGAAATTTAACATAAGAAATAAGAGCAAAAAGTACAAATTTCAGACCTTTGAGCCTGCACTGCCTTTCAACAAAATCATGGCTGATCTGTTCATGTTCCAATTCACTCTCAATAACCTTCGATGCCCTTGCCCAAAAATCTACTTCTGCCTTAATGATTCCACCTCCACTGCTTTGAGTCAGTGTCCCAAAGTCACACAATTCTTTGAGAGAAATCATTCCTCCTCTGTGCCCACCCTAAGACTTCTCATATCCTCTGTGTCAATCTACTTCTCTATATCCATCCTCATAATATATTTTCACCCTTCAAGTTAACTGATGCTTGTACCTACTCGTCAAGGTTCTTTATAGCTCTATGTGCCTATTTAGTCCCAAACCATGTCCCATCCAGCATCTTTTTCCCTTACACCTACTATACTTAGCTTCAGACATGGGCAAACCTCAGGATCAGTGGTAAGATTAAATAACATGCAGTTCAAGTGTTTTGTGCAGACTTCACCACGTTGAAAAAGAACACTTGCATTTTAAAAACACATTTACCACATTTACATACCTTCCAATGCACAAAAAGTCTTACACCAAACAGTTAATTCAAATGTATAATCTCTTGTGAAAGTTAGCACTGGAATTTATAA